TTTAAATCAATCACAGAAAGGGAGAAAGGAGAGAGACACTTCGATTAACTCAAAATCAGAGGTTCGTCATACACTACCTGATTTTGGTTTCAAAAGGCTTGATGTAGAGGTCCCCAATTGATGCCGCAGTTCACGAACAGGAAACGCACAGTAAAGCTTTTCGCAGAAGTTTTGCAAGAAAAGAAATTCAAGTAAACCTCTCTCTGCAGAAAAAATGCTTATTTATACCTCTGGGCAAAATTAGATCTCAATGGCTGAAATTCATTTAATCTTACGGTTACTATTAACACCGTTTGGCATTCAACGGCCAACCCCAAACAGCACTGTTTTGAATTCGACGGTTCGTTTTTTAAAATTTGCCCGTTTAACTGTTGCAGTTATCTTTTTACTGCTGCATTTATTGCACACGTCATCCCAAGGACAACTGTCAGACTTTTCAGATGGGCCCACTTACACTCATTTCAACACCTTCGTTTACTTTTGCACATTCTCAAATTTGCAAGTGTTTCACCTCGCCTCCGACCACAATACTCATGCATTACATTTCACATCGACTTCGGCCACAGTGACCCAGTGTCACACATTTTACCTCGGCTCCGGCCATTATGACTCCGGTCATTATATTTTATTATGGCTCCAGCCATTGTGACTTTAGTCATTATATTTTATTATGGCCCCGGCCATTTTGACTCCCGTCTTTATACTTAAGCCTAGCTCAGCACTTCTGTTTACTTCTACAATTGCACTTTTTAACTGACAGTGTTTTACTTCGGCTCCGGCCACAGAAACATGTTCTACTTCGGTCCTGGTTACTATGACCACATGTCCCATGCTCTACCTTTGCTCCGACCATTATGACTCCGGTCATCATTTTCCATCACGGCTCCGGCCTTTATGACTCCAGTCATCATTTTTTATCATAGCTCCGGCCACCATGACTTCGGTCATCATCTCTTACTGTGGCTTCAGTCACATTGACTCTGGTCATTATTTTTACCATGGCTACGGCCACGATCACTCTGGTCACACTCTCTTCTTATCGCATACGGTTATATATGCATTCGAATTACAAATTTTATTTCCTCTTTTTACTTCTATGATTTATTCGTATCCTCTTTGTTCATACACTCCCCGCATTATCCCCAGCAACATCATTCACAAGTGAATGACTTGGGGGGGAATAGTGTAAGGACAGGTCCGAGGTGCCAAGACTCGACTGCTACAGTAATCCCTTTATGACCGAAGTGAGGAATGAATCCAAAGCTTCACGCTCAAATAGCTGCATGATAATGACGATAAGCATGTCCGCACCTGATTCCTTATGATGAGTGGCATAGCAAGTATGGTGGACACCTGTGCATCTGAATACCTCTCAAATTCTCGGTCCCAGAATAATCGTCTGGATGGACACGTCAAGCTCCGATTATCTTGCTTGGCATACCACGTGGATTCCTCATTGGATCCTATAAATACCCCCTCCGGGTCACGTCAAAAAGGTAATTGAAACCAACCCTAAACTCTTTTTATCTCCGCCCTAAAGGTAGCCTCGATTATTGCTGACTTAAGCATTGGAGTGTCTACCCCGAGTTCCACATCGGGACTTTGCAGGTCATCCCGGAGTGCAAGTGCGGACTGAAGAAGGACTTCTGATTTGGTGCAATTACAATATCATAGCCCCATTTTCAAAGATGTTAAATGGAATTTGCCTGCCATTCAACCTCATGCAGGCAAAAGCTGGGCAGAGATCAACTTTCAGCAAAAGCGAGACAAATATTTCAAAAAAAAAAAATTACTGGCCCATAGAAAACAGAAAAGGCTAGTGTAGTGTGACCGTATGAAGAGGAATATAAAGTCGGAGCAAATGGAAATGTACAATTATTATCAGCCTCTAATATTAATAATTTATTAGTTTAAATAAAAAAATTTAATTTTTTAAATAAATTTTAACTTTAAATATATAAATAAAAAATAAACAGTAAATAAATTTTAAAAAAAAATTTACTTAACTCAATTTTAAATTAATTTAGATATAATGTAATATTTAAGTATTAAAAAATTAATATAAAAAAAATCACTGGTGAGGGCCGGTGAGGGCCTAGGGCTCGGCCGCCATGTGAAATGTGTCCTTGAAATCTCTAGACCTCAAAGATATGACATTCACATCTATTGGTGGCGTAATAAATTGATATGTGGGATAGGGATGTGCTAAAAATTTGCAACTAATAAATTTTAAAAACTGATAAATGGATGAAATTATAATTATTGACTAGAGTTTAATTGAATTTTAATTTTTTTAATTAAAAATTAAATTAAATTAATTTTAAATAATTTGTTTTTAATTATTAAATTAAAAATGAATGATTAAGTAAATATAAATAAAAA